AAGGCCACGGGTTCGGATCCCATATAGGGATGGCCGGTTTGCTCACTGGGTGAGCGTGGTGCTGACAACACCAAGTCAAGGGTTAAGATCCCCTTACTGGTCATCTTTTTAAAAAAAAAAAAAAGGAAAAACAACTTGAGAAAACTGTATTTTTTTTTTAAGACTGGTCAAGTGCAGTAGGGAGAAGAGGGGACGAGTAGAACAAGGAGTTTAATATGTAACTGATTGTGAACAATCAAATGAGACAACTCACTATCTTTGGACCAGCCAAGAAAATTGAATTTTTTGAACTAAGGTGATATTTTTTTGCAGGCTTGAGAGTTTAACATGTATTCAGGTTTACACAGTGCAACAGCCCCTTGTGGGCTAGAGACGGGATGCAGTTGGCGGGCTTCCAGTTGGCGGCCTGGCAGAAAGAGGGAGGCATCGTTGGCTGCTGCACACACTGCATGCTCCTGGTATGGGTGATGAACTAAAGTGATCTTTCCTTTTCTCTAAATTTTCATTTACAGTATGCTTAAAGTTTGAAAATACTTTATTCAGAAGTTATCTGGCTTTATAATGGAAAAATAATAGCCATGGTTTTGAGGTAGGCATGAATTATTGCTACCAAAGTTATATTGATATTTGTTCAAAAAGGCAGGAACTATTTTCTAAGTATCAAAGTATTACTTACTGTGCATTTTCCTGATATTTTTGGGTAACAAAATCTTCTCTTTGCAAAATTTGTAAAAATCTGTTACGTGCTATGTGGCATCTGGCAATGCATTTGTGCAAATCTTGTGGCTTTACATTAAATGTCTCTGTAAAATGTAGAGAAGAATCTACACGGAAAACAAGATAACAGAAAACAGACTTAGAAGCCAAAAAATTGTTAATTTTAAGAAATTAACATCATATAATTAATCCACAGCATTAGCTATGGGTTGAATTGTGTCCCCCAAAGTTCCAGGTATTAGAAACTTAACCCCTACTGTGAAAGTTAAGAGGATGGGCAATCCTATTATGGTAATTGAAAGGTGGGGCCTTGAAGAGATGATTAGATTGTGAATGTATTCATCCATTGACAGTTTAATGGTGGTCATGGGTGTGGTTTTGATGGCTTTAAAAAAGAGCATGTGCGGGCCAGCCCGTCACTCGGGAGAGTGTGGTGCTGATAACACCAAGGCCACAGGTTCGGATCCCATATAGGGATGGCTGGTTAGCTCACTGGGTGAGCATGGTGCTGACAACACCAAGTCAAGGGTTAAGATCCCCTTACCGGTCATCTTTTAAATAAATAAATAAATAAGAGATAGATAGATAGACAGACAGACAAATAAATAAATAAATAAAAATTAAAAAGAGCATGTGAGAAGCTCTCTCTCTCTGCTCCTGCCATGTTTGTCATGTGATACCCTGCATTGCTGTAGTCATCACCAGGAAAAGGCCCTCACCAGCTGTGTTCCCTGGACTTGAACTTCCCAGACTCCAAAACCATAAGCAATAAATAGTGTTGCTTTAAAAATTACCCAGTTTCAGGGCTGGCCCCGTGGCTCACTTGGGAGAGTGTGGTGCTGATGACACCAAGGCCATGGGTTCAGATCGAACCATATAGGGGTGGCCAGTTAGCTGACTGGGTGAGCGTGGTGCTGACAACACCAAGTCAAGGGTTAAGATCCCCTTACCAGTCAAAAAAAATTACCCAGTTTCAGATAATTTCTGTTATAAACAATAGAAACTGATTAATACAGCTAGTATGCCACATACACAAAAAGATACAGCTAATGTTAATAAAAGCAAGATGACCTTTTTTTTAAAGTAGGCAACTAAGGGCCGGCCCGGTAGCGCACTGCTACAGTGCACCGCTTGGGAGCGCGGGGGCGCTCCCGCCGAGGGTTCGGATCCCACGTACAGACCGGCCGCTCGCTCACTGGCTGAGCGAGGTGCAGGCGCAACACCGAGGGTTGCGATCCCGTTGCCGGTCCCGGTCCGGTACGGGCGCAACACAGGGTTGCGATCCGTTGCCGGTCACGAAAAAAAGACAAAAAGGAAAAAAAAAAAAATAAAGTAGGCAACTAAAAACAGGATACCTGAAGTTGAGTTGTTACATAATTAGAAACTTTCAGAGTCCATCTGCCCAAAATAATTCTTATTACTATAATTTGATATATCCATGAACAAATACATTGTTATACAATTTTTAGCTATGTTACTAATGACCATGAGAACAATCCATGCAAACATTTCATATCCAGGTTTTTATCTATAATAAATGTAGTAAATCCTACTTTATTTAACATGGCTCAATACAACGAATATATGGATATTCTGAAAATCAGGGACCCTACACTGCCCTTAACATTATTTATCCAGGTCCTAGCATTACCCCAAAGAAACCACCACAATTTCTAAATACTCAACAGGAAGTGAGTTCACTGAATTTAGAAGTCATCTAGAAACTGAACATGTTGACTGGAGCTGCTTCAAATCAGAAATAGAGTAACTCATGCTTAGAAGCCTTATGTAAAATAAACCCTTGTTAAATCCAAATAGGCATATTTCATGTAAATAGTTTAGATTATATACAATTTGGGCAGATCATCCACTAATACAAAAACTGGTAAAATGTTTGTTACACTAAATTTAAAATATGCAAATGTTTTTTTGTTTTTTTTTTAAAGATGACCGGTAAGGGGATCTTAACCCTTGACTTGGTGTTGTCAGCACCACGCTCACCCAGTGAGCTAATCGGCCACCCCTATATGGGATCCAAACCCATGGCCTTGGTGTTATCAGCACCGCACTCTCCCGAGTGAGCCACAGGCCAGCCCAAAATATGCAAATGTTTATAAAGCAGAATCACATACATGTGTTTTAAAATCATGCACAAAAGATAAATTGAAAAAACGTTATATGTCACATCACTAAATAACAGCTCCTACAAATGAAAAAGACCAATAACTTAAGAGAAAAACGGACACAGGATATTAACAAATAGTGCAAAAAGAGTATAAATTGCTCTTAAACATATGAAATAATTTTTAACCTCACTAGTTATTAGAGAAATACAAATTAAAACTGTACTCCGATTTCTATTTTAACCTATCAGACTGATTACATACATTGACAAGCCTTTGGGAAAACAGACACTCTCCATACACTGGTGATGGAAGTATAGCCACGCATCACATCTTGGTCAAAGAGGGACCACATTTACAACAGTAGTCCCATGAGATTATAATGGCTACATCATGTAGACAAGGTACACACCTAGTAGGATATACCATCTATGATGCTTGCACAATGACGAAATCACCTAACGCTGCATTTCTCAGAACATACACTTGTTGTAAAGTGGCACATGACTGTATAAATTGTCCGGCCTGTACAGAAAATGATCTGGTAATATATGCATAGTTCCTTTGACCAAGCAAATCATCTTTCAGGAATGATTTTATATATATGTATACATATAAAATAATATACACACATATACATATACACATATAAACACATACACTTGAACATACACACACTGATACATGTATAAAGTTTGTACTTTCGCATTGTTTTTATAGCAAAAAATTAGGAAAAAACAAATGTTTATCAGCAGAACACTGATTCAGTAAATTATATGACATCCATTCAATGTAATATTATGCAATTCTAAAGAGAAAGGATGAGAATAAGGAAGCTCTATGAACTGATATGGAATAATCTCCAAGATATATTGAGTGAAAAAAAATGCAAAATGGATTTATATCACCATTTATGATTTTTTTAAAAAGGAAAAATATATATGTATTTTCTTGCATTATTGATTACACTGTTGCTTCCAGAAAGGGAAACTAGGTAGTTAGAGAACAGAGGTGGAAGAGACTTTTCACTTTTTGATTTTTGATCGATGAGAATGTATTACCTGTTCAAAATAAATAAAACATATAGATATAATATGTGCACTTAAAAAACACTAAAGGGAAATAAACCAAAATGTCATTGTAACCACAAAGAAATGGTAAATGTTTAGGTGACAGATATTCTGATTAGATCATTATACAATATATACATGTATTAAACAACTGCAGCCCATAAACATGTACAATAAAAAAATAAATTGAAATTTTTTAAAAATGTCAACAATGGTTGTCTCAAGAAATTGGAAGACAGATGGGGTTTAGTGCTTCAACTTTTCGATAATTTTCCTTTCCATGTTTTATGAGCAAAAACCAATTAAACAGAGCAATATATTTAATAAACTACAAAAATAATACTCTTTTAAGTATGAGCTTTAAAATCCCAAGTTTTGTAAAAAAAAAATAAAAATAAAATCCCAAGTTTTGTTTCTATAAATTAGTAAATAAATCAAATCCCGTTAAAACAGAAATTTCCAACACATTGCCAAGTAACCAAAATAAATCTCAAGCACATTCAACACAACTTTTTTTTTTGGCAATTGGCCTGTACAGGGATCTGAACCCTCAACCTTGGTGTTATAACACAGCACTCTAACCGACTGAACAAACCCGCCAGCCCCAACACAACGTTTAACACAATGTATTAGAGGTCAACTATAACCTGCAGGTCTAATTTGGCCCACTAGCTATTTTTGTGAGTCTAGCAAGGTAGGAGCAGATTCTACATTTCTAAAGGATCGTAACAACAAAAACTAAAAAACAACAAAGAGGAATATGCAACAGACACCCTATGTGTTCCACAAAGCCTAAAATATTTACTATCACAAAGCCTAAAATATTTACTATCTGACCTTATACAGAAAATGTTTCCCAACCCCTGTATTAGAACATAATAAAATAATGTAAACAGCAACTTATGTTCATTATGAAAAGGTTTCAAACTACAATTCCAGTAGAATATTAACTATTTGCTTTTTGAGATACATTAATGTTTTAACTTACCTTGCTTTATTAAAATCTCTTGATTTAAAATTGTGAAAAACAATAAAAATTTAAGAATCAAAACAAAAAATTCCTATTATAAGCTCAACTTACTTTTAGAATTGGTTTTAATATATTTTATCGCAACAAATCTTGCAAAGTGATACATCAGATGAATAAACTTAGGACCACCAGGAGAAAGAAATAATGAACCAACAACTTGAGGAAAGCTACTTCCACATTCAGCCTACGGAGAAAAAAGAGAAGATGATTTGAAGACCTTATCAACAATAACTCATATTTATATCACACAATTTTTTAGAGGGCATGACAATCTTGTGGTAGAGGCCACATGTGGCATGTCCATGAGCACCTCACTGTAGAGCAGTAGCAGCTCAGCCTTCGGCACTGCCTCTTCTCAGCACAGTGGCTTGGACATTTCCAATTTTGCTGCAGAGTAGAAAGCAGCCAGCTGCCTGCCCCAGCCCATTCCCTCCTCACATCATACTTTTTTTTTTGTTTTTTAAAGATGACCGGTAAGGGGATCTTAACCTTTGACTTGGTGTAGTCAGCACCACGTTCTCCCAAGTGAGCTAACCAGCCATCCCTATATAGGGTCTGAACCCTTGGCCTTGGTATTATTAGCACCACACTCTCCCAAGTGAGCCACGGGCCAGCCCTACATCATACTACTTTCGAAGCACAAAAGGATTTGATCAGGATTATTTCATTTGAATGACGAGTCGCGCTTTTTGGTTTTTCTAAACTCTAGGTGGACTTGGTCACAAAAAATAATCATAATAATAAAGCCAAAAATTTTAAAATAAGCTTAAAATAATAAATATATAAAAAGCATGAGGCCTTAAATAAATAATTATGCTTAAAATAATCTATGGTTAAAAAAGTTTTCTTTAAACAAAAACTGTTATATAAACTCCCAAGAACTCTAAAACCTATTTCCAGTGCACCTAGCCAGCAAATCTGGTTTCTGAGAAATATATAGAATCTAAAGTTTGCATCTTCCAAAAAGAGAATACTTACAGAGATCTTTTTTAACCATTCACAGCAATGTTTCCGAAATTCAGTATCACTTTTTTGGTCAAACGGAGGCCAGCAAAATCTTAAAAGTAAAAGCATTAAAATTATGAACCGAAAACCCGTAAACTCAGAAAACTTTTAAAAAACATCAAACTTATTTCCTATAGAAACATTAAAGCTAAATGAATTAAAGCTAACATTCTCAGATTTCAGCTGAAGGGAGACACCAACCTGTAAGAAATTGGGTCTTCTTCTTTATAAACATGTGACTTCGGTTTAATGCAAATAACAAATGAGTACATGTATTAAATGAAGGAATGAGCAGTTATTAAAATTACTGAAAATCAGCTAAACAAGACAACACTCTCAATGGATCCATTAGACTAATGAACAGAGAGGGCATAAATAAATTACTACATTAAGGCTTAAAAAAAAAAGGAATCCTGCAGGAGAGAAACATAAATGGATACATATGATGAGCAGAGGAGAAGGGATGCCATGAGAGAGCACCCATAGTCTGTGGATGCTACTGGTTTGTGGCTAAACAACAAGATACAAAAACATGAAAAAAGAAAAGTTTTGCTCCAGCTTTGGTCAAAAATATTAAACTTCAGGGCTGACTGGTTAGCTCAGTTGGTTAGAGCATGGTGCTGATAACACCAAAATCAAGGGTTAGGATCCCCACCATATAGCCCAGCTGCTAAAAAAATAAATAAAACTAGACTTTAAAATTTACCTATTGCCTTCCTCTGATAATCAGTTTTGTTCAAATTTTTATTCTGAGGCATAATTATTTAAGGCCTCATGCTTTTTTATATTTCTATAACATAAAATATACTCAATATTCATAGAAAAAATTAAGCACGCATATAAAAAAAGACAAATTATGAGATGTCAACAGTGATATTCTCTGGTTGGTAGGTTTAGGAATCATTTCTACTTCCTTCTTTACATTTTTCTATATTTTCTGAATTGCTTAAAATGAGCCATAATATTTATAATCAGGAAAAAAATCAGAAAATCTATTTTTATTTGGACAGAGGAAGCCCTATACCTTAATGACAGGAACTTCCAAGTATACCTATTCTCCTAGGCACTCATAACTTTAAAAGAAGGCAAAATCTTAATAGGTTATCAAAAATGAAAATAATGCCCTACATGATGAATTTACTTGCTTTTCTATGATAGAGACTGCCATCATATAAATATCAAAACAAATTTGAACACTTTTTCAGACACATAAAACCCAATTCACATGCAAAATAACTTAGAACCAAGACTAGTGAGTGTTCACATTTTTATCTCCTATTTAAACTATTTAGGGGCTGGCTGGTTAGCTCAGTTGGTTAGAGCACGGTGCTGATAACACCAAGGTCCAGGGTTCAATCCCTGTACCACAGCCAACAAAAAACATAAATAAATAAGCTATTTCGTATTCAACAGAATATAAGAATAGGCTAAATTTAATAGGTATGATTTTTGCCCACAACACCTGACACTTTTATATATATCACTGAAAAAATAAGGATTTAAAGAGAACTGGAAAGTAAAAATAGGCAAAACAAATAACATTGCCTACAAGAAAAATTGTAAGGCATGGCATACTTAGCCAAAAAAAAAAAAGATAGGGCAAAATTGAGTGTATAAACAGATCGGTATCATTCAATTGTTTTGCCTAATAATTAAGACCATGAATAATGTTAGGAACTAATTTTATGAAACAAAACCTACATTACCTATGAAATACATAATGATTTTACGATAAGTACCCCCAAAAATCACCCAGATTTATAAAGGTTAAGCAGTAAATGTGTATGACCCAAACCTGAATTTTGTGACATCCATTCAAAACAATAGTTAAAGGCCAAAGCTGTAATTCTGGCTCAAAAAAAAAAAAAAAAATTGGCTCATATGAAGGTACAGTCAGTTCATTTCCGAATTTGAGAATGACTATTTAAGAAAAGAAAATGAAATAAATTTTCCTTACTTGAAAACTTCCTTGGTGAGAGACTGGTCCAGTGTTTGAAACAAAAAATAACAAACTATTTGAAAGGCATCACGGTTCAGCTTGTCAAACATGTTCCTAGTGGTTTAAAATGAAATAGAAAAAGTAAGAAAAGAAAAATAAATAAATAAAAGGAAAATGGTTAATAAAACTAAACATCATCAAAAGTTACGTAAGAGTCTGACACAAATTAATATTTTTCATTCTCTTTAAAAGGTCAAGGCAAATTAATTTTTCTCATTCATGTACATTTTATAACCAATTAAGAAAAACATACCAGCTTTTATGTTCTGATTCTGAAAATACAGATCCAATAGAAGAAAACTGGAAAAATTGCAACGAAAACATTCCACAAAAAGGGAAGAAATGGGCTAGCCAGTTAGCTGACTTGGTTAGAGAGCGGTGCTGACAACACCAAGGTCCAGGGTTCGATGCCTGTAATGGCCAGCCGCCCAAAACAAAACAAAAAAGGGAAGAAAAGCCTAATTAGGTAGCTTCAAACATCTCTGTCAGTACAGAGAAAATGCGACTTGCTGTGGGGCATCAATTCATGTGACATAAATGGAGTATTTACTAATAAATACATCATCATAACCTGATGAATGCTATCCACTGTTGTCAATTTTTAAAACAGACTTCTAGGCAAAGCACTTCATATATATTAATGGTTGTAACTTGTAAACAAATAGTTAACAAACAAAACTTAATTACAGCTCTTAACCTTGACAGCAAAAGTTATAACAGAGCTGAAAAATTCAAGAGGGGAAGGAAATGTAAGTAATCTAGTGATCTTATAAATAATAGCCACATTCACTGCGAAATTATGTAGTAAGGAATCAAAAGATACTTTTGAGATTGACAAATCAAGAAATAGAGGCCTTTGGGCCGAGCCCGTGGCGCACTCGGGAGAGTGTGGCTCTGGGAGCACAGCAGTGCTCCCGCCGCGGGTTCGGATCCTATATAGGGATGACCGGTGCGCTCACAGTGCTCACTGTTGAGCGCGGTGTGGCTGGTCTCAAAAAGGACCAAAAAAAAAAAAAAAAGAAAGAAATAGAGGCCTAAGCACACTATTAAAAGACAGCCACTACAAGAACTGAAATTATATAATTTACGGAAATTGAATAGACTGAGAATAGGAGATGGCCAATGTATCCCAAATTAGGCTACAGTGGGGAAGATAAATATTGTCTAAAGTTGATAAGATAAAGAAATATTGTTTAGTATTTAATTTATGGCCATAACCATAACAGATGTGGCAAAAGCAGAGACGGGCGCTTCTACTTTTCATTTTAATACAATTCTCTACTGTTTTTTGCTAACTGTGGCGTGCTTTAATTTCCTAATCCAAAAAGTAAAATTTATAAACTAAAGCTAAAGAACCACCTTCAAAGCTCCCTTGAGTCCTGAAGGTGTCTGCACGCATTGTTCCCACGCCCTTCTACTAACAAGGCGCCACCGCTCCCACTACTGCAAAGACCACCCATCTCCACCACCCAGCCGGGGTTAAGCTTCCCCTTCAGTTTTGTCCCAACTGCAGACTACTCTCCTACAAAGTGCTTCCGACACTGTTCCGTAATTGATACTGTCTGCCTCTGCCACCAGGCCGGCAGCAACAGGGAGGAGACGCTTTGCAGACCGTGCATGGCACACAGTAACCGCTCAACCATTTCTGATCCACCGACCCCCGAGATCTGCGAAACGGAGGGTCACCCCGGCGTCTCCCGGCTCAGGCACCCTCGCCCCGCCGCCCTGGCCTTACACTCCGAGGTACGTGTGCGACACGATCTTTCCGCAGGCAACGGTCGCCGGGCCTGGCTCGAAGCCGAGCGCCTGCAGATACATCCACAGATGCTCCTTCTCGAACGAGGTGGACCAGGCCGAGCTCATCCTCGAGGTTGGCTGGCACGGCAACTGAAAAGTGAGAGAGCGCAAGGCCAAGCGACTCGGAGGACCCTCAGGATCCCCCTCTACGGGCAGCCTGAGGTCGCGGCGGCCCGTCCATTGCCACTCATTGTCTGCTTCCCTCTCGCCCGGAGCCGTCTCACTTCAAACGGCCGTAAAAGCTCCAGAAAATGGAGTCTCTATCGGCAACGAGGCCACAGCGGCCCGAGCCGGGACACCACAAACTAAGACTCCCGCGCTTAAGGAAAAGCACTGTGCGCCGGCGCCGCCTGACTTCCGGCAGAGGAGGGACTTCACAGGAGGACTACATCTCCCGCCGTGCAATGCGCCCTCTCTCCCTCCCTTCCCGTCATGCCCTGCTGAGAAACTACAAGAACCACAGTGCATTGCGCGGCCAGCGACTTTTTTCTGCTTTTGTGTAACCGCTAAATTGCAAAGACCCTTGGGCCTCACGGTTGCGCTTTCTTAAGCGTTTGCCATTTCATTTTGCTCGTATGCTAATTGTGAGGTCAGATAAAAAACCGTAGGTGGAGTACTGTTCCTCGATGTAGTGGAAAAAGCACTGGGTTCCATCCTCAGCTTTTCTCACTAGTTGTGTGACCCGGACAATTTTGCTCGTATGCTAATTGTGAGGTCAGATAAAAAACCGTAGGTGGAGTACTGTGCCTCGGTGTAGTGGAAAAAGCACTGGGTTCCATCCTCAGCTTTTCTCACTAGTTGTGTGACCCGGACAAACCCTGAGCCTCAGTTCTGTCATTAGCAAAATCTTTTATGCCCTCAAATGGTGAATGTACCTTTCATCTTCTTGCCCTACCTGAAATCAGGCTCTCTCCTAAGCATACGGCTTGCCCCTGCAGTCCTCTCAATTGATCGCTGTTTTATCTCGCACACCCCATATACATCAGGGCCTGGAAGTGGGGTGGGTATCTACTTATTTCTCATTACCACGTCTGGCAATTATTGCCTCCTGCCTCACTAAAACCACCAGCTCCTTTGAAGTTTATGCTGTCACCCATAAATGTTCCTTGTGGAAGTCATCTATAAGATCTTTGGGTTGCTGGATGTCATTCTGAAAATATTTAGCACTTAATTCCCTATCTCTCCAACATTGCTCCTGCGATAATTTTTGGTGATTTCAATATCCATGCGGGTGACCTTTCCAATACCCTGGCTTCAGTTTCTTGACCTCCTCTCCAATAACCTTGTCTTCCATTCTACCTCAGCCACCCACTCTCATGGTACATAACCTTAGACCTTGTCATTATCAATTACTGCAACCTTTCCTTAATCTCAACTCCAACCACTGCCTCCTAACTTTCTAGCTCAGTCCCTCTAAATTTCCTTATTCCAACAGTCCTTGGGCCACAAGCACTCTTAATACTTGTAGTGGATTGAATTATGTCCCCCCAAGACTCATTGAAGTTTGAATTGTGTCCCCCAAGTTTTATGTATTAGAAACTTAACCCCCACTGTGACTGTTAAGAAGGTGGGAAATCCTATTATGGTAATTGAAAGGAAGAAACCTGAAGAGGTGATTGGATTGTAGGACTGTGCAGTAGTGAATGGATTAAAAACGGTGGTCAGGGCATGGTTCTGAGGGCTTTAAAAGGAGAGAGAGCAGAGTCTCTGCTCTCTCTACTTCCACCACCTTGCAATATGAGATCACTGGGTCACTGTCACCACCACCAGATGGACTTTGGACTTCCCAGCCTCAGAAACTGTAAGCAATAAATTTCATTTTTCTATATAAATCACCCAGCTTTGGGTATTTTGTTATAAGCAACAAAAACGGACTAATACTTTTGTCTCTTCACTGTCTCTTACTTCCTTTCACATCATTATACTCATTAACTTGAACACATCATCAGCTCCTTGGCCCCTTTCTCTTTGCCACATTTATCTGGCAAAACCTATCTATTAAATCCAGTTCTCTGCCTATTCTACACCTGCAGTTTAGCAGCTAAACACAGTTATGATGCCTAGTCTCACTCAAAATTCATGACTCAAGTGAGCTCTTGAGCCTGCCCCTCCACCCTACTATTTTTCCCAAATCTCGCACTCCACACAATTATACATATCTTCTCTCTTTTAGACCTCTGATGCCTTTCTCCTTCCCACTCTCAGAAGAATTTCTTGATTCTTAGTTAACAGATGCTTCCAGAAAAGAACTTCCATCAACAGTTTACCAACCTGCCTATATCTTTGCCCATGTACTTTTCCTTCTCTCTTGCTAATTCGGGTAAACCAAGGTTTGCCTACCTAAGACCAGTCATTCCATTTATTCGATAAGTCACATTTCTTTTCTCCTACTCACAGAGTTTGATGCAGTATTTGTTCTCTACTTTCTCCTGCATCGTCAATTCTTCTATCAATATATAAACATGCTATATCTTCCATTTAAAAAAAAAAAAAATCCTTTGACCTCCAGTGCCTTTCTAGCTACACCACTGGTGCCTCGGGGCCCACCCAAGGGTCTGAGGTTTGGAGCTGAGACCAGACCCCCCTCCCACAGCCAGGCACACTGCCAGTTATAAGGAGCATGCCCAAAACATCACCTCCATGCGGGTGGCTCACCACAGCCACCACAGTAACCACGGCTGCTGTGAAAGCGGCTAGACACCACAACCACCACACAGATGCTCCACCAGCCACTGGACTGCATTGAAACAAGGAGAGTCACCAGCAGAAACCAAAGAAAAGAAGAGGATGTCTCTCTCCACAAAGCCCATTCCAGAGTGACAGAAGAAGCATCTACTCTGCGATAATATTGGGGGACCTGAACAGACCTCTCAGCATTGGACAGATCGTCTAGGCAACAAATCAACAGAATAACCATTACTCTTTCAGAGGGACAGAAGAAATCTAGGGAGATCAGTGGTGGGAGGGGGAGGGAGAGGGAGATGGGGAGAGACTGGACAAGGGGCATAAAGAAAAGTACTATTTGTAACAGTATAAATACTAATAATATTGATTTGATCAACATATGTCAACACTGAACCCCAAAGATATGTATAATCGATTCAATAAAAATTTAAAAAAGAAATAAACCTTTGACCTCCAATGCCTTTCTAGTTACCACTCCACTTCTCTTTACGGCAAGACTTCTACAAAAAAGTTAACTAAAATAAATAAATAAATAAATAACTTTAGAGGCTGGCCAGTTAGCTCACTTGCTTAGAGTATGGTGTTGGTAACACCAAGGTCAAGGGTTCAGATCTCTATACAGGCCACCCACCAAAAAGAACAAAAGTTGTCTATTCCCACCTCACCATTGATGATAACTTGCCAAGGTCACTTATATCGATTAGAATTCTTTAGTTGCAAGCAGCAGAACTGAGTCTGTGACAGAGTTTTATTAGATGATATTGGGTAGCCTAAAGCAAGGATGGAAACACCAAAGAATAAGATTCAGGAAAGGCAGGCCCATGTGTCCATCTACTCAAGATTTATGTCCCAGACAGTCCAATTTATCTTTATATAGCTTAATGAATTATTATAAGGTAAACATCTTTATAACCACTACCCAGGACAAAAACTGAAACTTTTCCAGCCATCCCAGAAGCCCCTCCTTCCCCTAAAAGTAACCACCAAAAGTAATCACTTTTACAATGATTACTTCCTCACATTGTCATATAGTTTTATGCCCCAAATGTGCTTCTCTAGACAATGTAGTGTTTATATTTGTCTTGCCTTTTTTGTTTTTTTTAGTCTTTCCCTGGATTTTTTTTTTTCAATAATAT